TAAAACGAAATGTCTAATTATCTATAATTGTTGAAGGATCTCTTTATAGACAACATTTTTTGTTTTATTGGTTGAACGACCTTCCTCGTCACATATGAGTAAATCTGAAAAAAAAATGAACATAATTACCCAAGTAAAAAAAATACATATCTTGCAATAATATTTCTTTGGTGGCGTGTACATCATGCAATGATAGTTGTACAATTGTTATTGGACTGAGATCGAGACTTTTGTGAAGAGAAAAAAATTCACAATATTTCTCACTCAAAAGGTGGGGTAACTTGCTCTCTATCTCTCATATGCGGAAAATACGTGAATACTTCTTCATCCCTATCATAATGAAAATGAAAACAGAAGTGGAAAACAGTAAAAACGGAAAATGGCAAAAACATGTAAAACTGGAAAATGGTAAATACATGTGAAACTGCACAATCTCAAAGTAGGATGCTATTTAACAGATTTTCCAACTTTAAAATTTGTCAAAAATAGTAACCTACTTTGAAATATCTTGAAATAAAGTGTTTTTTTGGTCTTTTTTTTCAAAAAACAAATAGAAAAGTTGCAAATTGGTCATTTTTGTAGATAAAAGAAATGTGTCATTTAGAGTATTTTTTTTACAGAAAAGTAGCAATTGCCGATTAGGACATTTTTTTGGAATTTTATCTCTTATGGAATTTTTTCTGTCCATCGGTTTTGACAACCGTTTTGGTCATTTTACTCGAAAACATAGAATTGGTCGATTTTGTTAGAAAACTGAAGCAAAAAAAATATGTTGTAATTTTTGTTTATATTGACTCTTTAAAAAAGAATACTTACAAATCTTCCAAGGATCGCAACTGAAAATTTGTCAGTATATAAAAAAATTGTATTTTTTGTCCTTATTACATGTTCCAACACCGTTTTAATGCTAAACACAACATAGATTTGCAAGTATTTAGTCTTTTTTTCAACAAAACACATACACATGAAAGTATAATGTTATAATCAACCACTAAATGAAAGTATGTTTCTATAACGACAAGAATGTACTTTAATATATTTTTCTGATTACAGGATCCTATTTTCATTCATGGACCAAAATCATTATGAAATAACAAAATAAGGGAATAGATTGCAACCTGAAACCTACTTTAGGTACCAAAACTGGAAGAAAAAAATTAAAATTTTGGTCATTGTGCATACTGCCTTTTTCCTACATCTTTTTTTTTAAATCAGGTATGTCATACTGTGTAATATGCATCCAATCATGGCATTTTACTTTCACTTATTTTCTTACTATGGCATTCTACTTTGAAAATTATAACCAACAACCACAATGAAAAATTGTTTTGTATCCCTATCTAAAAAAAATTAATTGATGTAGACCATGTTTAAGTAACTACGTGGTTGTAACACGTAAGAGGGACCAAAAATTAAAATAACAATGTGTATTTTTTTTTCTTTTCTTATTACAGGATATCCTATTTTTCTATATGGGACCAAAAATGTCATAGTAATTCATGGATAAAGTTGAATGATCATCAAACTCCTGATACATATAAGTTGTTATTTGAACAACCTAAACTAATAAACATGTTATCTGTTTTGAACAAAATGAAAAAATCTTCTAAAATTCAAGGATATAAAACGTTGTTTTAAAATTAATATCTACAAAATATAGTGTTTAAGGCTTCCTTTGTCACACGAGACGTGATTGGATTATAAAAATAAGAAGATTTACAAACAAAAAAAAATTGAGAGGGAGCAAGTTTTTTTGTTACTGCTTAGGCGAGACAAAAATAACTAATGCACTAAGTATTAGAGAAGGAGAATGGCATTTTAGTAATTTAACTATATCGATGAGCTAGTTAGAATTTGTTATTACAGTTTGTTGGCTTCTCTGATACTCTTAATAGTTTAACTTATAATATTGTTTTTGAAAAATCATTAGATGAAAGTGATGTAAATTAATAGAGAGATATGACAGTGAGAGATTTACGTTCATATAACGTTAACAGTGAGAGATTTTCATGTCGACATTTGTATTCCTTGATTCAAGTTTTCTTGGTTTCTACAAAGAATCACTTCTTTTATAATGTTAATAGTTAACATTCAAATTTACGTTCATAATATGATTTTCTGAAAATAAAATCACAATTTAACCTAATGAATCAATTCAACTGTGATAACAATAATGAAGAAAAAAAAACAAAACAAAACAAAGCAAAAAGAAAAAGAAGTTCAAAAAACATATTGAAAACACGATTCCATACATGATTCCATATAGTTGATTCATACCATAAAAACAAAAATAATACGGTGGAGAGGATAATGAAAGATGTTATGGATGATGGATGATGTAGCAACAGCAGGACGTCGAAACAGAGGTTGAAGATTTTTTTTTTGTGTATGATACGTGATATTATGGAGGGTTAATAAGGATAGATTGGTAAACCGTGTGATTTTATAAGATGCATAAAATAAGGAAACAAATAAAATGCAAGAATGGATGACGATTTTTATGCATTAATCCTATCTTTATTAAATTGCAGGTATTTAATAGTTGACCAACGGTTTGTTTTCATATGTTGACTTACCTTGAATATAATAGGTGAAATAATATTCGATTGCTTTAATTGACAAATATATGCTAACAAAATACTTTTAAATTAACTAAGATATAAGAGATAAAAACATATTCTTGTTACATAAGGGGGATGATACTTCTACTTTGTTCTTTTATCTATCCCCTTCATAAAATTGTATTTTTCCTTTTTTGCCCTTTAGAAACTACGCTCACAAATTAGATTTTGATCCCTTGACTTTATTTCTATGCGTTATTTAGATTTTCTATCCGTTTTTTATTTTGATTTTTACACTTTTTAATTTGGAAACCCATGTCCTTGATTTTGGTTTCCCTTATTGGTTTTACCTTTTTTTGTTTTACTTTTTTTATTTTATTTATATATTATTAAAGTTAAGTATATAAAAAAATTGAAAAAAAAATTAAATAAAAAAATCATGCAAATATGATACGCAGACCGAATGGATATAGTATTATTGGAATCGGTTAAACATCATTTAATAAATTTCATGACATGCGCTAATAAAAAAATTAATTTTTTTTATTAATGGTGTAATCTAAGTTGGTATCATAGTCCCCAAACAAAATAGTGGTTACGCACCGCAATTTGAAATAACAGTTCTCAACGATGTAATAATGACGATAAAAAAGTATTCATCATACGCAGGTAAAATGTTGCTCAACAAAAATATTAAAATCAATGCATATCGTACAATTGTCCAAACTAATGCATCATGAGAACCGCTAATTCAAATCGCAATCTGTGACCGCAATGTTATTTGTGACCGTTATATTTGCTTAGATTACACCAATAATAAAAAAATTAATTTTTTTATTAGCGGATACTTAATAAATCAAACAAAAATATTTAACCGATTATGATAATAACACAACACATACGTATTATTATCAAAATCAATTAAATATATTTGTTTGATTTATTAAATATTTCATGATGCATTAGTTTAAACATATGGTGACATACAAACCCATTTTGACCAAAATGCCCCTGATTCAATAGCCAATAACAATGATACAAAGATAACCCAATCTTGATCTCCATGCGTAAGTAGTGTTTCTGTCAAAAGAATCCCAGAAACACCAATAAAACCTAGGAATAGGGAAGCCACAAAAATCTTCCAAAAATACCCTCCAAACCAAGAGGTAGAATTGTCACTGATAACAAAAATATATATCATTCCCCTTTACGAAATCCAAGCCGACAAACCCAAAATTTTTTGTACATGGTCTAATAAAAATCACAGACATAGTATTACATAGTATTCTGTTAATAAAAGAGACTGAAATACCCCTATTCATTACAAATCGACTTGATGCTGTGAATAAAAAATTGACAAGCACATCGAATTCCGTTTATAAAAAAGACTGAAATACCCCTATTCACAGACCTAGTATTCCTCAATTTTCCTTTGCTTTTCCTGTTATTAGAATCCGCAGGCTTGTAAAATCTTTTGTATTTATTAGAATCCGCAGGCTTGTAAATTATTTAAATAATATCTTGAAAGGGCACTCATCCCATCTTTGATTAATCCGGATATAGTCTGTTTCCCATATCTTAAAAAAACATCATGAATGAGAATGGAAACATAAGAAAGTTTAATATTATTAGCATTATTATTATTATTACATGACAATGTCCGTTTTAGAGCATTGGTCCCAGAATACTCGAGGCTGATTTCATCACCTTGATCCACCCACACTATTCCAAAAGTTTGAACATAATTTATCCATACATCACTTTATCTAGACATTAACTTAATGGAAAAAAAGGGCCTTAGAAGTCCTGAAAATCTCAAGATCTTCATCAGCTGTGAAACTACAAATGCTTTCTGATTGTGTTAGGGCACACATCCGCTGCAATTGTTGATCCAAAGATATCCTTGCAAGATAACTCTGCAACAATAAATAAATAAATAAAAACGCCAATTTTACATTTTTACCCTTTTAGGGCTTGAAGAATGACAAGGGCATTCACGTCTTTTGGTAATACCTGGGTAACGTTTGTGTGGTCAAGGCAGTCAATGTAGTTGGATAAATGCAGTTGGGTCGGATGATTCCCTTCTACTTTGCTACCAACTCTCCTTGTGTGGTTTGGAGGAAGAATCTACTGAGATGTAATAGTGAATATTATAAATGGTTTTATGGAAGAAAAAAAAACCATTATAGCTCCATTTTTAAGGAAACTATTTCAGGTGACAAAATTGTAAATAATGTAGTTAAGTTTTGCTAATATCCCTGCTTTTCAAAGTCATCGGCTGTTTCATCATACACAAGTTTCAAATTCTCAAAATTTCGATTGCCATATCGTTGATGGAAATCAAATGAGACATATCTGAATCAATAATAAGCTCACATTAAAATTGCAATCAAATGATATAACTTATTAAATCCTAAGACATAATTAAAGATTAAAGAATCATCTAACATCAGGAAGCTTTTCCATTTCTGTGGCAAATGCCAGGTTTAAAAGGCTCTCATTTCCATGCTACATGAAACACAATAACATAAAAAGATCACTATAATTTTAGAGAAATATTACAACATATGATACATATTTAAACATGTTTGGTCAAATAGTAAAATATTTAAACATCATTTATCAGTTAGTGCTTTGGGCCAAGGTGTTACCTGGTCAGTTAAGTCAACAACAATAGTATCTCCATATCTTTGCATAAGATCATGAAAGTGGCGTTTCACCACCATGGGATGCATCCAGTTAAACACAAGGTTAAAATTACCTATGTAAATAAAACATCACACACTTTAAGGAAATAATATATAATATAATATTCTCATTAAAGTAGAAATCATGAATTCAGGAGTAAAGTAAATGGTGTTATTATGATAGAATCCATATTGTATCTTGATGCTCAATAACAGCAAGACGCGGTTTATAACTTAAATCAACAATTTGTTCCCACAATAGAGGAATTGAACCTCGGACCTGAAATCAAAAATTAATTTCATTAATAGGATAATAATCATAATATAAGTTATAATATCCTCAGTGTCTATTAAGAAATATAATTTCAATATATCTAGTAAAATGAATGTTTAGAAGCTGTTGAAAGATCATGTGTTCAGAAGATTAACACAAGTCAACAACCATTATTTGGGAATTTGAAATTTATCTACTGAAATGTTGTGTTGTAGTAATTACCTGTAAAAATGATGACTTGAATCCATCATACTCCAGCAATTGTTCAGTTTCAATAAAATTTGCAATTAAAACAGAATATCATATATGAGAATATACCTACTTCCAAACTGGAAGTAAGCCTCATCTTTTTTCTATATAATGATGGTTTTATGAAACAATTAAGGTGTGGGACTTAATGGAACAGCTTGCAGAATAAAGGAACTTACTTGCTGATTATTAAGATTACTTAAACCTTCATTACAGCATAAGAACTTCCTAGACATGACTCTGAAGATAGGATAACCAAGGTAAGTTCCAATCTCCTTGCGAGAAGTTATGACCAATACATATGTCCCTACACAAAGACAACAAAAGGTTCAGTACATTCATCAAATCTTTGGGCTTACTATAAGTTGAACAACTGTCCATATATGGAAAACCAACTATAAGTATCATTGTTATGGATGCTAAATGATATTTTATCCAAAAGGTTCAATGGCTCTCTACCTGTATCTAATATATATGTACAAACCCTAATATAATAGTAATTATCACCTGCAAGCAATCTAATTGTTCCAGCAACTCCAAATATTGTATACATCCTGGAAGCAGTTTCCAAATTAACTTCACCTGTGACAGGTTAAGAAATTTCCATGTTAGCACATCTTATAAATAGGATTATGCGTATATTTACATCTTTAATGAATTTGTTGTTTCGATTTACCATGAAACTTTTCAAATTATTTAGGTAAGTAACAAATTTATGTTTCTGAAACTTCAACATACTGAATTACTGATTTAATTTTAAACTCTAGTCTACAGAAACAACGCCCGAAGTGAAAGGATCAGGATCTAAAATCACCAGATTTTTTAGAATTGTAAATTTATCAGATGGATGCAAAAGACAAGAATAATAAGAGATTCATTACATAGAAGTATTGATAACTCGACACTCTCGAAATGGCCAATATCATCCAAAATTTCCTAGAACAAAGAAAGAAGAGATCTGTAAAAGGGGCAAATCGGATGAGGAATTCTAACAATGAAATTGATATTGAAAAGGATCTGTCAAAAGAAAAAAAGGAAAAACAAAACGATGAAGAACAGAAATCTATTACACAAATGCACCATTGGAAGATAATTTTGAAATTGGGAGTAAAATCAAGACGAACTAACCGTATTCTTGGAGGCGTTTGAAGAGGTGAGGTAGATACGAATTAGGGATATGTTTTCTGGCATGATGAAGTAAAAAGGAATGATTTTTATGTTTCTTTAGGTTACAATTGAGAGAGAGAGGGTAGGTGAAGAAGGAAAGAAGAGATAATCATATAACGGTGTTTGAATAACCAGGATGATGTCAGCAAAACAATTTAAGGGTGAAAAATTATGATGAAATGTAATGAATGGTCCTGATTTCTTAAGATTAGAATTTAAGGTTCTCTTTTAATAATATTTAGAGATTACATATTAATTGTAGGTTTTATTTTAGAAGGAAAAAAAACTAATTGACCTCGTTTCCTTCACGCGTTTTCTCCTACATCGTTTCCTCGCCAGTTACTTCATTCTCCTAACGCCTGTCATCGTGGGCACAATTTACAGCCTTGTTGTGCTTGTCATCGCTAATAAGTCGTTCCTCTCAACGACACCACTTAGCTAGGCACCTACCGCTGGTGTCCTCCCATTTCCGGTAACCCATTCTTCTTGTCGGTTCTATTTGTTAGTGCTTGGTTTAATCTCGATGTCAATTTCTTTTTCTCTGGAGTTGCAGTAATGTGTAATCTTTTGCTCCCGATATTTGATATTCGTAGGCTTGGTTTAACTTTAGTAGCATGTATTCTATTTTCTAACTTTGATGAAGTTGCAGGCTTCTGTTATTGTTTAAGATATTATATCAATATTCTAGTAGCATGTGCTCTCTTTTGTTTGAAGTATCATGTTTTGTGGGATAATTTAAAATTGATTGTATATGATAGACTATAAATAAATTGACCTTGCATTGTATTTTTGGAGTTATGCTCAACAGATTTAGTTGTTGTTTTAGCGGAGAATGGTTGTTCAATTGTTTTTCCTATTGATATCTCAATTTTGCATTAATTTCAAACTTATTAGATCCATTTTCTCCATCGAAAGTATTACCCCAGATGTTCAACATGATGTATCAGTTCAAGCCGGAGATATCCTGTGCCGCAACACTGAAGAACCCATCGGGTGCACTATGTATATCATCAACGAACCAACCCACCTGCGTTTGGCCATCGCCTTGAAAGTCGTTGTGAAGAACCACCATTAACTTCGAAGCATATTATCGTTGAATCTTCGGCTCCCATCCAAGAAGCTGGAGCATTCACTACTAGAAAATAGCCCTTTAATGACATGCGAACAATGACACGCACTGATTTACGATACGCATTTTTCTTGTGTCCTAAAAATAATGTCAGCTTTCCAAAATTTGAAGGATAAAGGACACGCATTTTTGCGTGCCCTAAAATTAGTGTCCAACAAAAAAAAAATTACAAACACGGAGGACACTTATCTTAAATGTGTGTCCTCTACAAATGTCGCTTTATAATTTTATATGCAGACGCGCGTTTTTAAAGGGGGGAAATGAAATCCTCTAAAATTCTAAATTTTTGAAGTACCCGCTTCTGCACTCTCTCCTCTAGATCTCCCTTCATTTTATCCCTCCATTCTTTCTACAAACCCTAAGCCATCATCACTACCATTGAACCCTAAAAACTCATTCACACTCCACACTTCTGTGATTCGCTCCTCTTGGGCTCTCCAATCTCTGATTTTACTCTGAAACATCGATCGACATCCCCACTTCACCTACCGTCTACCCAAAATCAATGTTGATTGTAACCACCTTCAAGCACGATGCCATATCTGCTACACATCCAGAACAAGAACATACATCACTCTCAAACACCCCCTTATCTTCTTCAATGTTCTCGACGTCTTGTGATTTCTAGGGCTTGAAGCAACCTCCTCTATGTTACTTTAAAAATCGTTTCCCCCTCCCTCTCGCCACCGATTTGGTGTAATTTCTAGGGCTTGAATCAACATTTACCCACGCTGACACTCCATCTGATACACTCATCTTTCACTGTTTTGTGATCCATGGTGCGAGTAAGGGATAAAGGTTACGACCTCATCAAGACCTCTATACCTCTATCAGACCAGGTTTGCTTTTATTATTTGTAGAAACATTTCATTCTTGGTTTTCTGCTGAGAGTTTCAAGGTTATAGAAAACCTATCTAACTTTGTTAATCATTTTTTTTCATTCTGGTTTGTGGTCCAAATCATTCCCAAATATATGATTTGTATTTACTTTGTGAAATTTTACTTTCACGAAGGCTATAAAAATGATGAAATATGATTTAACTTGAATATGGTTAGGGAATCGTGTTTGCTTAATTTTTAGAAATCTCAAATCAATACAGATTTGTAAAGCTACACGTATACTGATGTGTGAACTCTTATTTTATGGATGTTGATTCTTCCATGAAAGTTTATTTATCAATTCACGTAATTTTATACATAATGGACAATTATGCCGTTCACATGTTTACTTCATTAGATTTTGAAAATTAGATCATATTTTTCTTTTTTATCGCAGTCATATTTCTTACTTTTGAAGCTAGCTAAAATTCATAATATTGCCAATTAATATCCTTTTCTTTACCATGTTCGCTCTTTAAACCACTAAGACCATTGTTTTAACTGTTATACCCCTTGATTTGAAACTTAATTTTTTTCTTCCTTGATCATTCTTTAAACCACCATAATCAGAGAATTAATATATTTAGACACATATGAATCATAACCAGATCATATTCATGTTGGAGTTTTATGCTTCAATCCATAAATCCATTACACATATGAATCATAACCTTGGTGTCTCCCTGTATACAGATGGCTTTATTGGCATTCCATGGAGTTAATTTGGGGTGTAGTGTTTGTGGTCCTTATGTGTGCAAGTTGGTTTTTGTATATTGGTTTTTTCCCAAATGTGATTACCCATTACAAGTTACAGATTCAAATTCATTATGCTTGTGTCGAATGTGAGAGAAATAGGAATAAGGAGAGTGTTGAGCATTTGGAAACAAATAATTGGTTTCTCTCTCTTCAATATTTCTTACTTTTTAAATCAGGGGTATATTTGTCAATTAACTTTAAAATTATGTGGATTGATCAAAAATAGGCATGGAAAAATCAATACCCTTATTTTATTCAAAGTGAGACAATGTATTTGAGTACTTGTATCACAGCAAATACGTTGTTGCTTTGTTAAAATGAAAAAGAAAAACATGAAGCTGATGAAGGTTTGTTTGTATGATTAAAATTTGAGATTGGTTAGTTAAAAGTTTTGTATGATTTTTTGATTTGTTATTGAAAAAATGGTAACAAAACAGATAGTGAGGTCATGGATCCTCCAATGGATGAGGATGAGAATGAAACATGTGATGATGTTCACAGTGAGGAACATTGTCCAGCTCAAAAAAAGTGTGGAGTTTGAAGAAACTTCACATGATGCTTGTAGTCAAGTGATTCAGTCAAAATCATTTGATGAAGAGGTCCAATCGCCACAAGTTATTCCAAAAGGTAATAATGTTGTTATGAAATAAAATTTAAATACTATGAATGCATGCTATTTTTTTTTTTGAAAAAAGAGTTTATGGTATAGGAATAGCAAAAACTAGAACCAAGAAAAGCAACGGTGTATCTGAGAAGATTGTGGCTGATTCTCATGTCCCTAGTGTGAGTGTGAGATTTACAAGGTCTAGAAGAAGGTGAGCACTACATTCCTCCTATTAGTTATAGCAATAAACTATTCTAGATGTTTGGTTAAATTTATTTGACTTGTTTATTGCATTGCAGGTAGGTCGTTGATGAATGAGGCTTTCTCAGCCTCCTATTGCATTGGAGTTGGTTGAAAAAATAGATGGTAAAAAGAATCAAGGTTGGGGCCAAAGGAAGTAAGTGGGGAAAAGGATTCAACATCGTCAGTTGAGTACTTATCCTCTTCTATTTGTGTGTTTTTGAATCAAACCTATAAGTATTGTCATATATATCTTAAATTCTTGGGTCATCATGTGACATTACTATAGTAACAATCTAATTATCTTTGCCACCCTGTTTTTGGCTGCATGTTGCATTCTTTTGATATTATTTTTTGTGTATTTGATTCAGTTGCATGATAATATTTGTTTGGAAAGTGTGGTGGTTAATCCAACTTTGGACCGGAAGTTTCATGCTTTTGATCTTATTTTTGGTTTGATTGGAATAATGAACTCTCTACTGGACCGGTGTTTGTATGCCATCCTCAATTATATTGCCTTCTCTAATGGAATCTTATATAAAAACAATTTAAAATGCTTAAATACTTTTTTGACGGATTTTGGGTTCTTAATTTTCATTTTATTAATCCAGCAATACGAATGGCTTGTTGGCACACAATTCAAACCATTGGAGTTGGTAAAATCAGACTGGGCAACAATCCGAAAATCTACACCATGGGCAATTGATTCTTAGGGTTTACGTAAGCTTTTATTGCCAGATTCCTTTTTTATAAAAAAAATGATTGTTTAATTTATTTTATATAACTTTTTATGAGATTTTTGCGGGGTTAAAACTGAGCAAGACCAAGGAGCTACGAAATACAACTTCAATACCAAAGGTCAGCAAGTCATATCCATTAATTATAGTTACAAGAAAGTAACTTCTTCATTCAGAAATCAAAAGCTTTCTTTGTTTCTGTGAAATGTTGTTTGCATTTCTTTTTCATAATCAAGATTTTTATTATACTTTTATTCATTGATAATTTGAAATTTGATATGATAGACAAAGTGGTGCCCTGCTCCTGGATCTGATTGTGCTATTGAGTTTGATCTTGGAAGTGGAAGCTATGATGTAACCTGCTATTGCTCATACAGCTTTTGTTGGAATGAGAGTATCATAATTTATGCATTTCTTATAAAAGTTTAAAAGATTAGTTTATGTTTTTTCTTTATAAAAGATAAAATCTTTTTGTTGCTATTGTTGTAGTGTACAGAAGAAGCTCATTGCCTTGTGGACTGTGAAACTGTGTCCAAGTGGATTATGAAGAACAGTGCAGAGTCTGAAAATATGAATTGGTAAATGTCTAAACTGCCCCTTGACAGGTATGCTGATCGAATTGCTAATGCTAAATGGGAAGTTAAAGAACATGGAATGGAACACAACAAGTGATTATTTTTAATTTTTAGCGCCAAATATTTAAAAATATCACTTTTTAAGTTAAATCATTATTGGTTATTAGGTATGTTGATTTGTTGTTGGGAGAATTTCAGCACTACAAGACAAGGCTCGCTCATGGAGGTATTCAGAAGGAGGTAAATGTCACAACTAGCATTTTTGGCTAGGAAATTCTATCTAGGTATAGTCAACTTTTGATGTAGCTTGTAACTCTAAGATTGATGTCATACATGTTATTCATTTCAAAAACAACTATTCAAATCAAAAACTCACTCGTGAAGCCCTAAACCTAGTTCAATGCACTATGCTCACTCTACTTTGGGTTGTAACCCTAATTTCTTAGTTCAAACATCTTTTTGGGCCAGGAATCATTTATTGGGCCTAATGGGCCAATAAACCCACAACCTAATTATTTTGAATTAAGGATACACATTTGGGCCCTAATTGGACCCACATTCACTAAGTAATTGATTTTGGGCCACAAAACCTCTTTATGGGCCTTAATGGGCCGTAAACATTATTATGAACATCATTGGGCCGAAAAACCCATTTTCTTTGCCATTTTGGGCCATAAACACATATGTGGGCCAATGGGCCGAAAAATTCTTATTGGGCTACATGCTTTCGATGGCTATCAAGCTCAAGCCCAATGTTTAATCTTTTCTCCTACCTCTCTCTCATCCTTGGTTTTAAAACAAAAAAAAATAAGAGGATAATTAGGGTGTTGCCACCTCACTAATGTTTAGTGGTAATCCAAGCAACAAATCTCATGTTTCTAGAACTCTAAACCATCATGTAAAAACCACTTAATCTCTCTCTCTCTCTTTCTCTCTTCTTAACTCTCAGCCAAGGTGCATCCCACCACTCTCATCTTCTTTTCATTTCAACTACACCAAAAACTCTCTCTAGAACTCCAAGATTTCACCCATCCTTTCTCTTCAAATTTTGTGTGTGCTTGTGTGAGATCAAGAACTCTTCATCAAAGATCATCATTCTTGGTAAGCTACTTTCTAATCAAGGTGTTCAACTTCATTTTATGTTAAGCCTTTCACTCATAAACACTCCATTTCATGATCCATGCTTCTTAGA